TTCCCAGACCTTCTTGGCTGGAAAACAAACACATAGCTTTAGACCAGTGGTTGTCACAGTGGTATCACGATTGCCTGGAAACCTGTTAGAAATGTGCAGACCTTCTCTTGGAGCTGCTGAGTATGGAAATCAAGGGAGGATCCCAACCATCTTTGTTTTCTAAACTCTCCTGGAGACCAGTGCTTGATGAAGATGTTAGCATACCGCAGTTGGATGCCTTTGTCTGGCTGTAGCTGGAGCAAAAGGCATCTCCACTGGTAGCATCCTTGAAAGTGCCCCTTGATATCAATCCACTGCTTGAAATTCTGCAGACCTCCAAGGCTCCCTTTTCAGAATAGGTTTTCTTCAGCAGAGATGGAATCATGGATTCCTGGGGGTGGGGTGGGAGGAGTGTCAGGACCCTATGCAGTTCATGTCTTTAATTTCCCTTTTCTCCCCTCAGCCATGCAGGAAAGTTCCAATATACAGGCAGGCTGGGGGTGGGGGTGGGGGTGTTTTGAAAAATAGATGCAAACACTGCCTGAGCTGTTGTTGTTTCCCAGCGCTTGGCAGTGTTTGGTAAACAACTTGATTGCTAGGTCCTGGCCTCAGGGAACCACAGCTGCTCTTTCCAGCTCCCTGCAGACTTTTGTACCAAGCAGAGATTGCTTCAGGGAAAAATAAACAGGGGAGAACAAAACAAGAAAACATCACTGTTGTTTTGTTGCTGCCTCTACCTGTTTTCCCTGGAGCCGTTTTGTAACCACAGGCCCTGGGCTTTTGGTTCTTTTTGTTTAAAACAAAACAAAAAACAAAAAAACAAAACAAAAAAAACAAAGCAGGCTACCGTGTTATTCTCGGCTTCTTTTCCCGTGGCTAGATGGTGGTATTTGGAGTAGCCATAAGAGTTTGGAAAGCTCTGGAAAGGACTAAGTGACCACTGCCAGAGTGTATGCATTTTTAAAATATGTAAATTGCAAAGGGAGAAAGCTTCATTCTTTCTAATGACCCCCTGGATGGTAATCTGGCTTTTCAAATCTCTAGGAAAACAGATTGGATATGGCACAATTAATGTTTCAGCACTTGGAGGCTTTTCTCGAAAATATTTTAATGGGCTTTTAATTTATTGCAGCTCTTGATTAGCAGGTTCGAGGCAGGGTTACTGCTGCCTTCCTGGCCTGGGCACTCTTGGGGCTGCAGGGAAGTGGAACACAACAAAGGCAGCCTAGAGCTCTGAGAGGTCAGAGCCCCTGTGACTCCCGGAGGACAAGGTACTGGCCCTCAGATCCTTGGCATGCCTGCTCACATGCAGATCTCTGGGAAGCCTGGTTTCTTTCTGGGCTGTGGAAGGTGGAATCTGCATTTCTAGCCTGGCCTGCTTTTGATCCACATGGCTTCAATACATGTAAGGCAAACTTGGGTAGGAAGCCCATATGGTATTTCCAGCTTTTATATGTTTTAATGTTTGAGACCTGTACATGGTTTGGTTAATGCATTTATTCGTTTACTTACACATTAACTCTTATCATTTTGGCTCTCCTTCCTTTTTTTTTTTTTTTAATCGGAGAACTTTTCTTCTGGAATCATTTTCTTGGTCCTGAAATAAATCTTTCATAATGTCCTCTGTAACAGAGAGGTGATAAACTTCTTTTTGTCTCAACAGCTCTTATTTCACATACATTTTTGAAAGATAGTTTGTCTGGGTATACAATTCTAGGTAGACAGCTTTTGCCTGTGGGCTGTGTTCTGGATAATTTATTTGGATATCTGTCTTCCTTTACCACAGTTGCTGTATTTTTCATTTCTAGAGCTCGGAGCAGTTAAGTATTTTAGTTAGAGAGTGGCATGAAGAAAGAATCCAGGCTTACCTTGTCTATGGGGTTCTTAACAAAACACATAGGAAATAAAACATGCTCCACAAACATACTGGGGGTTGGTCCTTTATTTTTGGATATGTCTGGACACTACTATATTGCAAGTCACGTGAGGCAGCACTAGGGAGAAAGGTCCCAGAGCATTGCATGATCAGTTTATCTGTCAGCTAGCCCTTGCTCCAGTCCCTTACGCAAAGGACCTCTCCCAGGCCGCCTTCTTGCTGGCTGTGCCCTGCTCGCATGCTGCTTACTTACTGCTCTAGCCTTTTAATAGCTTTTCAGACATTGTGGAGTAACTTTTTCTTCCCATCCAGTCTTCCAACTCCTTCCAAAACTTGCTCACGAGATTTCTTCTAGAATTATGTGCCCAGAAGATATCTGCTGAGTCTTTCTTGTTTTATGTTTTCCTCTGTTCACTTGTATCTCTTCTTAAGTGTGTCTGATTTGATCTAGAAACACAGAACTAGAGTCAGGAGGAACCTCAGCAATCATTTGTGTCAGGAGTTGTGAAGTTTTGTTGTGGTGGTTTGTTTCTTTCTGCTTTTTTTGTTTTTGTTTTTTTAATGGAAACTTAAAAATTTAGCTACTGTCTTTGACAAATTCTGAACTTTCACTAAAATGAAATCTTGGTTTTTTGCCTTTGTGGAGCCTGGAAGCAGGAATCCCTGGGCAGGGAGGTTGGGGGCAGCAGTGTCAGCATTTGTCCAGTATAGTTTAGTGTTCTTCCCTGAGAAAGGAGACATTTTCTAGCTTCCCACCTTCCTCATCTATTTCTGCCGCCTTGTACCTAACCTTCTTCCCCACTGCCATCATTCCCTGCAGGAGAAAGGCTTGTATTTAGAAAGGTTAAGTGTCTTCTACACAGTCTCACAGCCAAAACTCACTTGAGCAAGGATGAGTCAGCAAGGGTGGATACAGCACAAGATCGGCCCTTAGAATGTTTGCATTAGTGTAGTGGCTGGAAAGACTGGGATTTCTAACAAGAGCAACTTTTAGAGACTCAAGCCACTAAAACTCTCTCGGTCTTAGTGTTCTTATCTGAACATTATGTTTGCAATAATAGAATCTACTGGGAACTCGTATGGGTGAACTAACTGTTGAAAATCCCCGAAATAGCATCTTAGGCAGTTTCAGTAAGCGGCAATTGCACATTTAGAGGTTGTTGATAATTTAATTGGTTTTTGATTCATTGGTTGAAATGAATCCTTCAAAAGATTGTAGTAGGAGAGAGCCTGCTATGAGCCAATCCTTATTCTGAAATTTGGCGGGCACATGGTAAACAAAGCAGAGTTTCTTTATCTCATGGGGCCGTTGTCTAGTGGGGAAGATGTAAGTAAACGCGGGAGAAGTTCCAGAGCTCCTAGGGACGCAGTAAGTGGGGACTAAGGTTAAGTAGGTGGGCAGGCAGTACAGAATTTTACCAGTGGCTTCTGTCCCTAAAATCCCAGAGCCCATTAAAGTAGATCAACCCTGAGGCAGGAAATGTTTAAACAAGAGCATCTGCTAGCTTCACACTGGTCACAGTGAAGGATTGGGTCTGTGGTGTGCAGCCATATTGAGGAAGGAGACAATGATCAAATTTTGTAGTGGAATGAAGTGTGAATTTTAAGAATTTAAGTGTGAATTTTTAAGAATTAAGTGTGAATTTAAGAACGGAGGAGCACTGCAGCCTGTTTCTTTTTGTTATGTGTCATAGACTTCATCTTGGAAATGCATCTTGGGTCTCAAGACTGTATGAGAGTTGGAGAATGGGGTTTGCCATTTGGACTCAAAATATGCCTCCTGTTAGGCAGAAATAGCCTCTCCTGGTAGTTTGCTAGAAATACAGAATCTCAGGCCCACCCCAGAGTCAGTCTCTGGAAGAATGGCCCCAGGATCTGTAATCTGAAAAGCTCAAGTGTTGCTTCTACACACTGAAATTTAAGAAACACTGATCTAGAATGCATTTGGGAGGATTTCCAGAGGAGTTGGAGCTGTACTCCCTGGAGAGGAATGGAAGCTTTGTGGGGGCATCCAAGGGATGACACCAGCCACTAAATAACAGCTCACCAGCACTGGGCATAGTGTGCCATGGTGAGAGTTATTCTAAGTACTTGGAAAACCACCCACAGCTCATCCTTGGTATTGATGAATGACAGTTCTGCCTAAAACAAATGCATGGTCTTTTAATCAGGCAACTTAAAGGAGAAGCTTATAGATATTTGAGGTCATTTAGAATAAGTATGTTTTATAAGGCAAAGGAGCATGGGCATAGGTGGGACTTTGTGAGCTTTGGTTAATGCCTGACCTTACAGGTAAAGTGATTAGAACCTTGAGATGCTAACTGGCTCTCCTTTGGCCACACTCCTAAATGGTAACAATACTGAGTCCAGAATTCAGACTTCGTAACTTCAAACGCTGGTGTCACTCCAGTGTGTTCTTCTTCTATGGACTATCTGCGTGGATACGTATGGTCCTTCTAGAATTCATAGCCATTTTTAGAATGCAGTAGAATAATTTTGGAGAAAAATCACAGTCTTCCTCATTTTATTATTGCTATTATTAAAATGATCTTAATGGATAGATACATAGATGATTAATTAAATACATGAAGAAATGATTTTAAGCCATGGGTACTTACCATACCTGTTTCAGCCTCTAAAAGAGATAGTTGCTTTATAAGAAAGGGTGTGTTTATCTGTAAGATTTAACACAGCTTCTTATCTGAGCTCTTTGTAATAAGTCATGTTACATTTGAAATACTAAAAGATTTTTAAGTCTTTAGTACAAATAACTCCCTTTCAGCAACTGCATAGAAGTCATTTGTAAGGGCTAGGGATGTAGCTCAGTGGTAGAGTACTTGTTTAGCATGCATACAGCCCTGAGTTCAAGCCTGAACACCACTAAATAAGCAAATAAAATTTTAAAAAAGTAAATCAATGCCAAATATTTATTTATTTATTTTTAAAAGAAGCCATTGGTAAGTGTATCTGAAAAGACTTATTTCCGGTGCTTTCTTGACAGCAGCCGGTGGATGTACTGACACCCCCTTGTTGGAACGGTGTTTCCCCCACCTTTTGAGTCTATGTCTGTCTTACTGTTTTCAAGAGTAAGGAAGTGGTGGTTTATATCTTAGTTATGTGTAAAAAATATTTTTGTGTGTTACAGTGGCCCAGAAGCTTCTGCTGACAATTCCAGTTTCCAAACAAGACATTTTGGCAATGGTGAGGGCTTCGATCCCTTCTCTGATTTGTTGTCAGCCATGAACGGATGGATGTGATGTCTGCTAGCCAAAAGGGTGAGTGAAAGTGGGTGATTATTCACCTGAAATCCCAAGACAAACAGTCCATCAGGACAATTGCCCACTGTGGATGTGAGATTCTCACTTTGGAAGGAGGGGGGACACAGTCGGCTGTTGTTTTTATGGTATAACCTTTTCAGATAATTCCTATAGTGATCTGAGGGTTTATAAAGGGACACTGGAAAAGTTGTTTTTCAAAAGAAGTTTTAATCACATACTGATAGACTGTCTAAATTATGGACCACATGTCAGAACGAGTAAGTTCTTTTTTGGTCTTCTCACAACTTGAGAATGTGAGCCACCTTGAAGTAGGCCATACTTACTTCATCTTGAATCCTAGGGGAAACGTCAGTCAGATGCTCAGAGTGTCCCATCCCACACCTTCCACAGGATGGGGCTCTTGAGAAAGTCACGGGGTTGGAAACTTTGGACTTCAAAGATTTTATGAAAGTCTGCTGGGTATTTTTTTCTATCACAGTTTATGTCATCAGATTATTCATTGAACTTTTTCAGGGACATATTTTTTTGTTTGTTTGTTTTTTCTTTAAGGACACGATCTTTTCCTGTTTTGTGTATTTTGCCATTTGCTACTGTCCATTTATCATGTTCCTCAGAAAGAAGGACTTCCCTGTGAAACAGCAATTGATAGAGGCCAGATGTTTCGGGTGAAAACTCTGACATCATTCAGTGGTCGCTTTGTCATAGAATGAGATCAGTTTGGGGGGGGGGAACCACTTATTTTTAGGTTTTATATTGGATGGTATTTGGTGGTGAGAGTCATGGCATGAACGCATGTGTCTTAGTGGAGTTGGTATTCAAAAACACATTCTGTGCCATGCAGGAAGCTTGGTGAAGCTTTAACATCACATATGAAGAACCTCTTATTTCCATGATGTGTAGAAAACTACTCTCTCTTCTCCGATTTCCTATGTTTAAAAAAAATCATGAAGCTTAGAGAATCCTGTTATGTCAGTACTAATGAAGCCCTAGAAGCTGGCTGTATAAAGCTTCTTGGTTTACAAATGGGATTGCTGAAGCTCAAGTATTCTGTGGGATGATCCAGTCCCTGGGTTTAGGCCACATGGACCTATTGTTTGGTCCTCAGTTAGTGCTTCTTACCAGTTTATCTCATTTACAGATATTAAAACATTCAGCTCATTTAGCTCAGTGTACCTCTTCTGACGACATGTCTCTGGAAGACACTATTATGTATGCATTCAGATAATTCGGCTACAGTTTTCAAGATTTTATCACTTCTGGTCATTTTGACAAACCCCTCCCGTTTTGATTTACAAAATAACATTAGGAGCTGAGCACTGGTGGCTCATGCCTATAATCCTAGCTACTCAGGAGGCTGAGACTGAGGATCACGGTTCAAAGCCAGCCTGGTCAGGAAAGTCCGTGAGACTCTTATCTCCAATAAACTACTCAGAAAACTGTAAGTGGCGCTGTGGCTCAAGTGGTAGAGTGCTCACCTTGAGCTGAAGAGCTGAGGGACAGCACCCAGAGTTCAGGCCTCATGACTGACCAAAAAAAAAAAAAAAAGAACATTAGGGAAATCACTAACCCCAATCAATACCAGAGACTAGGTGGCCCTCAAAGAGCCTCTTTACTTTCAAATGCACTTCCACATGGGCCATTTTGATGTTGAGCTAGTTGTACTTTTCATTCTCTTCTGTCAGAACTAGATATGGAGATAAAAATCAAGTCTTTTCTTCTTTCATACAGTAGTCTTCATTTTATTGGCAAGAAATAAGGCAAATGATAAGCAATAAAGTGTGGGGCAAGGCTGTCTGCATTGAAGAGAAGTGTTGTGAGGTGTGTAAGAGACCTTAGATCACTTTTCTGTGTGGTCTCAGGCATGTACTATGATTCTCTTACCTGTGGGGTTCTTCTGAGGGTTTCCAATGCTTTATTTCAGTGATAGACTTTCATGGATTGTCTGCAGATCCAGGTAAAAGTCTTATTCTTAACTCATACATGCATGAGAATTCATAGTAATGTTGGCATTCTGAAGGTATTGAAATAACACCCAACCCAGGCTCTGGGTTACATGACATCTCTGTCTTCAGTACTGAGAGTCTGACTCAGTCTCATTGTCATAAAATTGATGTATGAAATTGAACAAAACCACATGAATGGGTTGATTGAATACTAGGTTCATTTTACTCATTAATTTCAGTTGGCTAAGGCCCACTTTTGGAAAAAAACAGTCTCAGGAACTATAATGAAAATATTTCTTTTGAGAAAACATTCGATTAGGCCTAGTTTAATACCATTTTGCTTGTTTTTTTTTCCCTGTAGATAAAGAAGTGCTTTGTATTTTTCAGACCGTCATGAACCTCTTCACTGTTTTTAGTAGGAAGTAGAGGTAATCCAAATACTGTGAAGTAGAGCAGGTATTCTGACTTTTTAGCCTCCCCTGATTTTTTTCTCAAGGTACATCATCTAAAATGTGCCCAGAGGACTCATTCTTCCCCTCTATGATAGTTTACCTAATCTATGTACTGCACGTCTGAGAACTAGTCAGTGCTTTCAGTGTCAAAACTCATTCATAGCCCTGTGCTTTTTGGAACTGTACAATTTAGTGAGAAATCGAAAGACACACCAATTAATTTTGCTAGCTGATAATTTGGAGTCTTTAGGTTTGAAACTGTCTCTGATTCTGAGTGAAACGTTTCATGGAAAGTGTCCTCATGGTAGGGCAGACCGGGAGTTATAAGGGCAGGCAGCTAGAACAACACATCTCCCTTAGACACAGGACAATGAATCTATGAGATAAAAGGTTTGCACAAATAGATCATTACAGTAAAAATTTTAAGGTCAGAAAATGGGTAATGTTCTCGATTTATGTTGGTAATAATCATGCTTGCATACTAAATTAACTTGAGGGCAGAAAAGCGAGAAGAGAGGTCTGAGGGTGTGTTGTGGTTCTCTAATGCCACGATCTACCCAGCAGGCATCAGAGTTGCCTATTTCTCTGGCCTGATGCTTTTGCTGATGTTTGTACCTACGTGATGCACATCACGAGATTCCAAGAGTGAAGAGTGGTTAAGTCTGCTGCATATTTAATAGGCTGTTAGCCACAGTGTTATTAATAAATGTGATAATAACCGTCTGCATTTGCATAGAGCGTTCCTGAGAAGATTGACTGGGGATGGCAAACTTACTGGCTTGTTTGTCAGGCTCTGCTTTGGTGTTGTAATGGCTTACCAGTGCATTTCTTTTAATGGTGGAACTGGAGTGACAGTGAATGCATCATGTGACATTGTTGTGTCTGATTTGCTCACATTGTTGTCCCTTGATTGCCTACAATTCCTCTTTGGATCTTTCTCATAATCACATTTTTAGCTTTTGACTTACTATGAAGAAGTAGAAGCATGGGAGAATAAAAAAATCATCCTTCTAACTTGAGATGTGGTAAGGGGTTACTTTATTTTTGTCGGTCATGGGGCTCGAACTCTGGGCCTGAGCGCTGTCCCTCAGCTCTTCGGCTCAAGGCTAACACCCTACCACTTGAGCTACAGTGCCACTTCCGGTTTTCTGGTGGTTTTTATTGGAGATAAGAGTTTCACGGACTTTCCTGCCTGGGCTGGCTTTGAACCGTGATCCTCAGATCTCAGCCTCCTGAGTAGCTAGGATTACAGGTGTGAGCCACCAGTGCCTGGCACTGGGATTTCTTTGCTTTTTTAATGAAACTTGAGATGTTGATGTCTATTTTTTGCGGGAGAGCAGAGAGATCATTTTGGCATCAGGATTGTAGCCATGAGAGTCTAAGAGAGGGTGGCTATAAATGGCAGGGACTCTGGGACAGGAATGCTGGTTGACAGACTCCCCTTGAGCTGCAGCCTGTCATTAGGCCAAGCCACTTGGCTGTGTTTGAACTTTCAGTCCCTGAAATTTTGACTCTGAAAAGTAATTTTAACAATTTAATAAACTACATAATATGTTTTATAAGCTGAGGCGAATGATCTTAAGTATTTTGGTCTCTTTCATAACACAATGAACCTAATATTGGTAAAAATACAGATCTTCACTCATACCATAAAGAGAGGCTAGATTTAATAAGCAGTTATGAGCGTTGGCAGCTGCCTATCAGATTGTATAACTTGGGCTCCAGCATGCAGAGATAGTGTCAACTTACATTTTATCTCCCAAGTATTTTCAAGGCGTTTATTTTGCCTCGCTCTTCAGTTCCTAACCTCATACAAACAATATCATTGGCTGAATATTTTCCTCATAGCTAATTGGCCTAGGGGGCAATGGTAGAAGCCATTGTCTGGACTGATGGAGGTCAGAAATTAACACGTTTGTGTGGAGATAATGGAGTATATTAGTAAAGCAGTCATTCCAGGTAGTGAAAGAGTGCCCATTCTTTCCTGTGTATCCATGAATGATGAGGAAGGAACTTCTAGTCCCTGCCTTACATCCTGGTCTCTCACAGTGGAAGCAAACCAGTCCCTAAGTCAAACCAGACTATTAACATTTTTCAGACACAATTGTAAGACAGATGAATGGGTTATTCCACTTGTCAATTAAAAATGAAAGCCCACCAATTGCTGTTGTAAGATTAAATTCCAATTAGAAGATTGCATTTAATTCAGAAGCTATAACATTGTTTTAATGAATTCTGTTGTGGGTGACAGTTTAGGTGAGATAAATTTATATGGTGTAGGTAGATGTAAATTTATTGGATGGTGTTAAACATGTTACTTCATATATATTAGCTGTGAAATTTATTTCTTCTCTAGTTATGTCCCCAAGGAGGTAGAGTTAGAGGGAAAAACATATCTTCAAAGAAAGAAGCCCTTCTGTCCTTTCCAGTGCTTGCTCTAAACCTACTTTTTCTGAGTTTTATTTTTTTTTAAAAAAACCTGTTAAATTTCTGCATTAGCTGAATTTATGATTCTTAGTGTGTGCTATTTATAAAATGGAATATAGGCTTTATGATATAGGAAATTAGTCTAGGACGGAGACTGTGATCCAACTCTGTAATA